TCCTGTCTTGAGGAGAAATAAAGCCACCAACTCCACTACTTCAACGGATCCATTTTCAGCTGCAACGAAAACGCTTGTATTAGGTCATTTGTTCAAGTTTTTAAAAAAAGATTTACAATCACATTCGCACAGGCATTTTGCCATTGGGGATAATGAAAAGAATAAGACGATTTTCATAATTATTTTCTTCATCTTTATCCCCAGGTGCCAAACTTCCCGTGCGAATGTGATGTCAAGTCTAAAAACCTTGAATAAATTACCAAGTACAAGGGCTTTCAGTGCAGCTTAAAAAATGGACGGTTAGAATTAATGGAGTTGGTGGCTTTAATTCTCCTCAAAACGGAAACCTGCGACGCTAAAAACTCGTGAGAGTATTTTGGCAGAGAATATAATTTGCCTTGTTAAGATAGGTTATGAAAAGAGAGGGACAAATACAAAGTAAGTTTGATAAATAGAAATTCTTTTACCTTGCTCCTCACTCAACATTAAGTTGTTCTTCTTGTATTGCGAACTGTATTCGCCCTATGTTTCTGATTACTCAATTTCTTGCAGCTGAAGCTTTGGGCAAGAATACCCTTGCAGATAGGAGATAGTCCGTCGGCAGTTTCCAGTTTTTTTCCGTCGGCAGTTTTTTTTTTCTATTCGTGCGTCAACTTTCACAAATGTGTTAGCGTTGCATTTTAAGGTTAAATTTGACGAGCTATTTGTGCAGCGAGTTCTCCGTCACGATGGACTTCAAACTAGAGAGCTCTGAGGCTTATTTGCCGAAGTTAGAGAAAAATCTGTCTTAGGGTTTTGAAATTATTGAGCAGACATTTTTTGTAAAAATGCCGTTTTAAACATATGCCGGTATCTCAAACGTTTTTTTACCTTTAAGAAAATGAATAGCATTTTCTTAAAGTTCAACCATTCTTTATTAAGGATACCAAAAATCATAGAAATCGGTTCAATCATTCCTCCTGAAAAACCCGATTCAAAAACACAACCAACTGGCAAATAAATAGGTTCGGGCCACCCTAAATAACTTAACGAGCGCACGTTTTTCCCACTAATATATACTTCACAATACTTTTATTTATTTTATTTTTTATTTACCAAACGTTTCAGTTATCAGCTGCAATGACGTATATACGCCTGTTACGACAGGAACTTGACACGAACTTGTCACAAGTTTCAGTAGTCTCAGAATGTACAATTCGGACGTGACTTGATCTTTATGAGTTTAATTGGTGCAGCGTGCCGAGGCTTTGGAGCTTTGAGTTTCAATGTGACCGCCACCAAGCAATGATAGACAACTACCGAGATAATTACATCGCAGCTAGCAATAAAACTCTTGTTTGTTGTAAGCGCCACATCAATTAGAGTCAGAGATGTATCAGTGGTCCTTGTTGGTTGTGTAACAAGCTGCGAGAGATTTAACAATTATTTCTCAAGCCCGAACGGGCTCTGAGTCAATAGCCCATGAGGCCAAAGGCCGAATGGGCTATTGACTCAGAGGCTATGAGGGCGAGAGTAAAATCCAACTATTCAGCCGCCATTGTTTTGGTTTTCAAAGCCGGCGCTTTCGCTACTAGTGGGCTATAACATAGAACCTAGTAGTAGCTCAACCAATCAGAACGCAGTACTGATAATAGCTACCTAGTTGGATTTTACTGTTAACTGATACAGCTATTTCGAGAAAGGTTGTCGGAAAAAGTGCACGCGACAATCCCAAAGGATATTGTGGGTGGTTTTGAGCTTATTGTTCTTCGAAGAAATTTGAAAGAATAGCACGAGAGGCCATGGACGTATGTCTGCGAGTGTTAAAGGAAAGCAACAAAAGTAGATTCGACAGCTACAGAGTCAGGAACAGTGTATTGATCATATCCCATATTACCTTTCGGGATTGTCGCGTGCACGTTTTTTCCCGACAACCCGTTTTCTCGAAATAGCTGTATACAGAGATCCATCAAAGCTTGGCCCTCGGGGCAAGAAGAGCCCGGCAAAGCGTCTGAATTTAGGTCGCCAATTACCAAAACTTCCATATCTAGAAGCAGCGAGTCCATAAAAGAGGCAGACTGAGCCATCCAGGAATCTAAACATGGACACTGAGTCTGGCCTATAAGCAGCGCACAATATTCATCCCTGGGTATTGTTATTGATGACATTAAAATAAGGTATGGAGAGTCAATCTGACCTGGGACAGGCCCAAGACAGACTGAATTGAATACATGAATAGGTAATCTGGAACCCGACTTACTCGTTGGGGAGGGTGGGTGGGTCGCCAATCACCTTCGTGTCGGACAAAGTGAAGTGAATTGGACAATGCGTGCCAGTGTTTCCTATTATATATACTTATTTGCATATCATTAATTAATCCCCAGGGACGATATTTACAATTCAGATGGCACGTGAATAGTAAAAAAGATTTCGATTTCCTGCACTGGACTTTAAGCCAGAGTTGCACAGGGTCCAGAGGAGATGTGTTTGTCGTTAGAACATCAAAACCCGTCGAAAACATCTGAAAAAATGGGTTATTTTGATCGCGTTGACGATCGGGTTACAGTGTCGTTACACATTTTGTATACCGCAAACCAAGAGACTGAGGGCTCGCAAGATCGGCTTACGTGGAGTTGTTGGGAATTAGCGTCGGTAGTTGTAGACAAATTATCGATGATCGATGCTTTAAACCCGGGGGGGACTCCGCATATGAAAGGGGTGGGGATGCTCGTCGGAAATTTTGAATTAAACTCCTAAAGGAGACCGATCTGAGAGTAGCCCAAACTTTTTTTGACCCCTAAAAGAGACCATGTTAAAACACAGAAAAATGAGAAAACTTGGATTGTATGAATGGAGAAAAAAAACGAATTAAAAATATACATATGAAATACATATTTTTTCGCGTGCAACCCTAAACGAGACCTTCATAGCTAAATATGATGGCGTTTTGCCCAGAACACCCTAAGTGAGACCAAAATCCGAAATTTACACCCCTAAGCGAGACGACGAGCATCCCTACCCCTTTCATATGCGGAGTCCACCCCCGGGGCTTTAAATTAGTGTTCTTATGTAGACAACAATCCCGCCCCCAGATTTATGCGAGCCTCTATCCTGCCTGAAAATGACATAGCAATCAAACTGATCATTTTTTTTAATGGTTTCCTCTCTGATTCTGTTGAGATCACTTTGTGTGAATATACTAAAACAACTATTCACCTTAGGCTCAGTTAATATAGTTGAATAATACCCTCGACGATTATTCAACAATATTAACTTCGCCTTCCGCGAATAATTGTTAAATAGTTAATAAATAAATTACACAATCCAGCATTCCCGGATCTGAAAAATTACGAACCGTAATGACATTCCAGTACCGAATGAATCTAGAAAGTCAAGAACTGGCCAATAAAACTGCTTACTAGTAAAACTACTGCACATATAAACTTTATCCCTGGTGGTCAGGTTGACATTCGTCTTTTATCACATGCTGACATTTATTCGTTATATCGAGGTAAATTTTACGTTTGCGCTTGTGGATTGTGTTCGTTATAACGGGAGGATTTCGTTAAATCGAGGTTCTGTTCCATACATTTTACTGTAATTTTGGTCGGGCGGAAGAAAATCGTTCGTTATACCGAGAACTTTGTTATATAGATCGATATAGAGGTTCGTTAAATCGAGGTTCCACTGTAGTAGTTACATAGAGGATCTGGATGGGATTTGACTGAGAGCTGATAATTGGCCTACACTTTAACCGTCAGCTGAGAAATTAATGAATCTATTTTTTTACCCAGTAATCTTTATGTAGCCGCGTTCTGAGATACAAAAATTAACAGATGGCTGAAATATCACTTCGCTGAAAGTCTGACTGATAATTAATGTCTATCATCCCCATGCAAATTCTCTACATATAACACAGTCTATTTACGCCAATGAACAAGTTCTATCAACTAAAGACTCAGTGTTTACTGTTGCACATTACATGATTAATAAAAACATTTATCACAAAAGGCAAGAGAGCTGTTAAAGCAGAAAGTTTTCATTTGGCACTTTTTGCAAAAATTCCTCTGCTTAAAAAAAATGTAAAACAAAGGGGTCTGAAAAACAGCCCTGATCTATGTACATATATTTCAATTATATGCCTTTGTTAGCCTGAATTTCAGCCGTCTCCGCGGGTCGCAAACTCAACGAGTGGGCGAGCGGAGTAGGCGACTGAAACTCGGGATAATTCCTTTGTAAGGTGATTTTTCTTAGCGGAGCTCCACGCGCGCGCAGCAGGGCACCATGGGTACGAAAATTTGGTGATCTACCCATCCGAGAAATTTTGGTAATCACGTCACCGTACGCCCGCCCGCCCGACCATCCGTCCGCACCACAGGCATACCAATGTAAAATAAGTAAATCAACAGGGATGGCAACCCAAATGCAACTCGAGGTTATTTTGGCGGGAAATCGCATAGCCACCCGCGTCTTGTAAAGCAGAGACAAATAAAGAGTCAATACAGACGCGAAGCGAAAATTGTTTCTTAATCTAAATTCAAAAATCTAAACATGGAATATAGAGAAAGAGAAAGACAGAGAGAAAGAGAAAGTAGGCGACAAGCCAGCGAAGTTCAGAGAAAAAGAGTGTACAAAAAAAGTGTGTTGCAGTTGCAAACTTCAAAAAACTTCCTAGTTACACGTTTTGTGGAGGAAATGTCGTACCTTTAAATTGGTTTTTGTTCACTTTTTTTTCACTGCCTCTATTGCATGAACCTTATTTTTCTTAAAATGAAAAAAATCCATTTACGCTGAAAGAACGTGGTGTGTTTTACAAAAGGCACAAAAGGAACGAAAGGAAGAAAATGAGACTCTTTGAGTAACTAGTATTTTTTGAATTTTCTAATTTCCCAAAAAGGCAAAGAAATAAAGAGAAAACTGAAAGAGATTAAACCTTTAAAATGGGATAAAAATTAAAAAGTTAAAAAAAAAATTAAAAAGATTAAAAAGAAAAAAAGAAACAAACAGAAACAAAAAAAACGGATACGTTCACCATGTGCATCGTCAACTTTCTTGTGAACGGATATAATAATGATATCACCTTGCCGAAAAGATACTTTCAGAGTTGTATTTGTTTCAAGCGCTTTAGCAAGTGACTCAGCACCGGCAGAACCAAGGTTATTGCTGGACAAATCCAAATTTGTCAGAGTTGTGTTTGTTTTTAGCGCTCTAGCAAGTGACTCAGCACCGGCAGGACCAATGCTATTGCCACGCAAATGCAAATTCGTCAGAGTTGTGTTTGTTTTTAGCGCTGTAGCAAGTGACTGAGCACCGGCAGGACCAATGTTATTGCCACGTAAATACAAATTCGTCAGAGATGTGTTTGTTTTAAGCGCTGTAGCAAGTGACTCAGCACCGGCAGGACCAATGTTATTGCCACGCAAATGCAAATTTGTCAGAGTTGTGTTTGTTTTTAGCGCTGTAGCAAGTGACTCAGCACCGGCAGGACCAATGTTATTGCCACGGAGATCCAAATTTGTCATAGTTGTGTTTGTTTTAAGCGCTGTAGAAAGTGATTCAGCCCCGGCAGGGCCAAGGTCATTATCATACAAAACCAAATTCGTCAGAGTTGTGTTTGCTTTTAGCGCTGTAGCAAGTGATTCAGCACCGGCAGGACCAATGTTATTGCAAAACAGATCCAAACTTGTCAGAGTTGTGTTTGTTTTAAGCGCTGTGGCAAGTGACTCAGCACCGGCAGGACCAATGTTGTTGAGAAACAGAGACAAATCTGTCAGAGTTGTGTTTGTTTTTAGCGCTGTAGCAAGTGACTCAGCACCGGCAGGACCAATGTTGTTGTAAGACAAAAACAAATTTGTCAGAGTTGTGTTTGCTTTAAGCGCTGTAGCAAAAGACTCAGCACCGGCAGGACCAAGGTTATTGTGAGATAGATCCAAATTTGTCAGAGTTGTGTTTGTTTTAAGCACTGTAGCAACTGACTCAGCACCGGCAGGACCAATGTTGTTGTGAGACAGAAACAAATTTGTCAGAGTTGTGTTTGTTTTAAGCGCTGTAGCAAGTGACTCAGCACCGGCAGGACCAATGTTATTGTGAGACAGATCCAAATTTGCCAGACTTGTGTTTGCTTCAAGCACGGCAGCAAGCACAGCAGCAGCAGCGTCATCTTTAACTCCACGATCCCACACCTGAGCCTGTTGAACTTCCAGACATACGCCAAATGTACGTGCCAGTTCTGTATGAAAATAACTGTTTTCAATTTTGCATTCCTTAATGCAGTCAAGTGCAAAAGGTAAACATTCTTCCAGATCAGCTTTATTTACCTCATTCGCTATGCAGTTGATAAGGGCTACTGCGCTTTCTTTAGACCTCAATGCAAGCAGACCGCAGGTAAATTTCAATACCTCTCTTAGCTCTCCGAAATATCTTGTGTCAGTGACCAATTTTTCAGGACTGATTTCTTTGCTAACAAGCTGGCAGCAAAGATAATGTCCTGCAAAGAATTCTTGAAAACTCTTATGCGTAAAGCCGTAGTACATACACGGTCTTCGTTTGCAACTTCCAGGTTGAGCTGACAGAAACCCAAATCCAGGTAGGTCGGCATCTTTTTTTGAAAGCTTTTTGTCTTCAAAGTACATGTTGTCTTCATACAGGCCGTTTAAAGCTATCAAGCCAAGGCGTTTCAACTGATCTTTGTAGACTTCAATCAAATCCTGATCATTTTCGACTGAAAGACCTTTCTTTTTCCTGTATCTGATAAGAACACATTGTACTACTTCCACGTACAACTGAGTTCTACTTTCAGGTAAAATACCTTGAAAGTCTTCACAAAGAAGGCAAAGCAGTGCAGTGTTTAATGGGTTCGCTGTCATCTCTTGAAGCCTTTCCTCCTTCTCTATTTCATCCAATAGCTTTTCGGCCAAATCTTCCTTGCCGGCAAAATATTTGAGAATAAATTCTTCGCTATCTTGATAAGTGAAACCTTCAATCTCTAGCAAAGTGTCACAAACCTTTCTCATAGGTATCCCAGCCTCGTGTCGCGCTGTAACCACAAGGTTACATCGAGGAAGCATTTTACCTTGTATGATGTCGGTAAACTCCGGCAGTTTGCTCGAAGGTAGCTCGTCCAATCCGTCAAGTATCAGTAGAACCTTTGATTGATTTTGCCGAATGAACTCGAAGAATTTCTCTCTTTCGTTACGGTGAATTTCACCTGGCAAAAGCTGATCGTCAATGGCCCCCCAAAAGTCGGACTCGATCTCAACATCACGGCATTTCAGCAAGAGCACCATCTCGAATTTCGGAAAGCAATCTTTTTCGTTTTCTATGTTTATAGCCCAGTCGTAAGCAACCTTGTTGCAGTATGTCGTCTTTCCAATACCTGGGTTTCCTTCAATCAAAACTTTTGTGGGTTGTTTGCTCTCTCCGTGGGGTGTGAAGATTTCAGTCGTTTCAATAACTCTTTGCTTCGCTGTTGCTCTCACTTTTTTCTCTCTGCTGACCATACGAAGCCGTGTATAAATATCGCTTAGTTGAAACTGAAAGTCTTCGCACCAAGGAAAGGGCGCGAGCCATCCCTCATGACGTTTGTACTTCTGACGAATGATTTCAATATGCTCGGCAACAAAACCAACTGCTGTGAGAATAAATGAGAAACAAACTTTGTTGTAGATATTTGTCCAAAACAGTTTGGTTTACTACTTTCCAAGTCCGTAAAATAAATGAATAGAGCTACCCGTATAACCTACTTGGAAAAGACGATTTGCTAAAAAAAAAAACTTAGCTTTTATTAATTATCTCCCCAAGCCAGTGTGCACCAACTAGAAAGCAAGTGTAAAACATTCCAAACTAGTGGAGGGGGTGGGGTGGGTGGGGGTCTTCAATAAGGATGGCAAAGGTTCTCTTTTTGATTTAGCGGCAGCTTTTTAGCAGATTAGTGAAATTTGCGAAAGGCAAGGTAAATGGACTACTGCTTATGAACTCTAGTTTAGGGTGTTTGACTATTTTTTCAAATAGGGCGAGTACATACGGTGGCCCACAAGGGACCGTGATGTAAATAAATCTACTGCTGCAAAATAAAAGCACTTGCTGAAAATTTGTTTTAAAAAAGTTGGGCGACACCTCGATACACTAGCCTGCGTAGTAGCTGGCATCGAAAGAGGTAGGTGACGGGAAGGAAGGGAAAAAGGGAGGGATGCGCTTGTCTTCCTCTCCCCTCCCCTTTTTGTGCTTGCCACGCAAGCTACTGGTATGGCTGGCTCCAACGTCACGATCGTACGGGAAAAAAGCAGACTATAAACAGCCTAGGGGGTTTGTTTCTAGTTCTAGATACGACATCCCTCATCCCGCTGAGAGAGTTACAATTTTAACTGAAGGCGAATGAATACAGTACTTTGGGTCCTCCTTGGATACGAAACTGTTCTTTTGAGAGCGACACTTGTAAGACAAATGATCACTGATCGCTCAGCAATACTAGCTTTTAACAGTTATTTTAGACGGATACTTAGTTTCCAGCGGGCTACAGTGTGAGGAAATTTACCTTCCACCTTGGTCGGAGAGACCAAAGTCTTCAGCGTCTCACTGATGTCGCTTTTCATCTGCTTCAAGCTTTTTCTTGTTCTATCTGTCAGACAGAAGAATATACTAAGCAAAACTAAACTTTCATCACACGCCTTTCATCGAGGATGACTTAAAGTGGATGTCTGGAAAACTAGGAAATGGAAATCCGGAATTCAAAACAGGAACGGGAATAGCGACAGGAACCGCAAAAAGACTTGAAATAAACGATAATATTCCGTTAGGAGATAAGACATAAAATACAGCTTCCTATAAAAGCAGAGATGGTCTTTAGCCAATAACTCAATAAGAACAATTATAAAATAACTAAGATAGTAGGCGCGCTCTGATTCGCCGAGAGGCGTGTTTGCATGAGAGTATGTAAGAGTGTCTATGTAATTATGGTTATGACAAGGTTGTGACATCAATAGGTTTTGCTTTTCGCGCGCTAATCACGCAAGCAGAAATTTGAAAAAGGTTTTGAGTTGAAAACCTGGACAAGTTTACTTTATTCACCCATTTCCTCGTCGGCTGAAACTTGGAAA